CGTATGTGTAAGATCTAGAAAAACCGAAGTGAAACGGAGAGTTTCATGGAGGTAGGCCTAGGCCCAAATGAGGGCTGTAGAGCCAATAAAAAAAAAAGTAGTAGCAGTAGTAGTACTATTAATAATAATAATAATAATAATTAACTAATATTCGTGATGACTTATACAAGTAGTAGTAGTAGAGAGAGGATGGGATGGATTGGATTGGTCTGGCTCAGGATAGAGACCAGTGAAAGGCTCTTGTGAACACGATAATGAACCTTCGAGTTCCATAAAATGCTGGAAAATTCTTGAGTAGCTGCAGATTTGGCTTCTCCTCGAGAAGGGCTCAACTCAATAAGTAAGTAGTAGTAGTAGTAGTAGCAGTAGTAGTAGTAGTACTAGCAGCAGTGGTAGTAATGAAGTGACAGGAGGTTGGAGAAAACTGCATAATGAGGAGCTTCATAACTTGTACTCTGCTCCAAGTATAATTAGAATGATCACGTCAAGGAGGATGAGATGGGCAGTGCTTGTAGCAAGAAGAGAACGTGTATGTTTAACGTCCATGGCCAGACAATAAAGAAAGAAAGAAGGACCTCTCATACGACCTAAACCTCGCTACACGCCTCAAACTTAATTTCCGCATCACGGCTCCCCAGTGTTTCCCCCTCACTATAGGCAACCAAGGTGTTGACAAGGTTCCTGCGGTAACGGGAGAAACAAGCCTCCTGCCACTTCACCGACGTGGTAACACACAAATTCCTTTCGTTCAATTGCCCCTTGCAAGGGGATTTAGCAATGCTTATCACGCAGTCTCTGCCCAGGTTCCTCAAGTTACGGAAATTGCCGTTACAATTTTCAAATGCCAGAACTTCAAGTCTGTGTTACGTGCACGGACTGTTCATGGTGATCTCGTGGTAAATGGCTCATGCGGTCTTAAAGTCCATCTATTCTATGAACCTTGTGGGGCAATCTTACGGAGGAAAATCCTTGTATTCGTATAATTATGTATAAATTTCCCAGCGGCGCTTGAAAATTTGAAGCAGAAAACAGCGACGTTTAGGGTAGGCGGTAGCTTAGTTGGTTGAGGTACTATTCTACAAGCCAGAAAGTGGCGGGTTCGAGTCCCGATAATGTGGATTTTTTTTTCAATTTCCTAATCCTTCCTGCCGCACTACGGCCCTGGGGTAGACTCAACCTCTAAAAGAAAATGAGTACCCTGAATCTTCCTGGGGGGTAAAGAGCGGTCGGCGCTTAAGGCTGACAACCTTACCACCGATTGTCTAGAAAATGTGGGAGCTTCGACGTCCCACAGCCTTATGGGGTCTCCAAGGTGTGTTACAGAGATAAGTTGTGTGGGCTGGTAACTGTGCAGGGATTTCAATAATCAAAACTAACGAAAAACTGGTGTAACTGAACGGTGTGTACAAATTTTGGCCACGAGTTTCACATATAAAAACAAGAAGCAATGTCCATATCGAGATATACCAGGAAACATTTAATTTGTGAGTTACAGCAGAAAGAGTACACTTATAACAAGTGCTCAAAACGCCCTCCGTGAGATTCAATGCACACCTCGACACGTCTCATCATGGCCCGCCGCGTTCGTGCAAAGATGTCGGGGCAGTTGCGGACTGTCTGACAGGCATCCACAGTGCGAGGCTGAAGTGCCTCTTCCTTGTCAACAGGAGCTGCAAGCACAAGGGTGTTCAGGTGTCCCCACCAAGTAAAAGTCCAGAGGACTCAAACCTGGCGACAGTCGAGGCCACGCAGTGGGACCTCCTCTGCTTGTCACTGAGAACATTTCGCACAGCACGGAGTAACATCATGCTTTCTTTGGCCGCGCCATATCTCAGGTGGCTAATCGCTCTCTTTCCACCGTGGGGGCGCGTCTTCGAGAGTTGGCCTGGTCGTGTATGATTTGTGGTGGACAAAGTGGCGCTGGGGCAGGTTTTCTCCGAGTACTTCGGTTTCCCTGCAAATCTTCATTCCACCAAAATTGCTCCACAATCACCCTCACCTATCATCTGGGGCTGGTACAATAGGTCAGTAATGACCGCAGTACCAAGTGAACCCAGTTTCACCCCACTAAGAATAATAAAATAGATCATGCATTCTTTCAGCTATAACTCACAAATTAAATGTTTCCGGGGACAGGCTGATAGGGGCATTTCTTCTTAATTTACTACGTGAAACCCGCGCCCAGAGTTTGTCTGCACCTTTCAGTTACACCCTGTATAAATCCTCACTTCCATTAGGAGATATTAAAAGGAGAAGTTTGGAAGGGTTGGGGTATGTGATTGGAGTGGAGCAAACAAGGGTGGCTAAGAAACTTCTTGCAAGTGAAGCAGGAGGTAGGAGAAAGTGGGAGAGTCCAAGTTAAGATGGCTGGAAGGCACAAAGCATTATTTACCAAAGCTGAAACTGGAAAGATGAGGGCTAAGGAGAATTAACGGAGAATATTGTGCAATTTTCGTAAAAGAGGCAAAGGTCCTTAGAGGTCCAGAGAGGCAAGAACCAAGTCCACTTCACGTTCTCTTGTAGCCTCGAGCAGCCAAAGGGCATGCATCCGGGCATCTGTTGCGATTCTTACACAGAGTAACAACACTTTGTTATTTAGCTAAAGCTCAGTGTGAGGCTTAGTGATGCCGAAGTCGTGTATTCTGGTACATCGTTACGTTTCGGAGGGAACTGTTGCCTCCATCTTCAAGGTTGCGAGAAAAGTTATGGATGTATAAGAGAGGAGGTGTGAAAAAGACCGCGTAGGAAAATAAACATGATCAAGTTAATAGGCGCATTTAGGTCGACTCAGCATCTAAGACAAATGAGTACCGGGAATTTCTCTGGGGGGTAAAGGGCGGTCGGCGTGTAAGGCTGACAACCTCACCGCCATCTATGAGCCGACTGTCTAGAAAATATGAGAGCTTCGACGCCTCACAACTCTTTGGGCCTTCACGACCTGTTACAGGGATAGCTTTCTCTTTTTTATACCTTATGTATATAGTGTGCCTGAAAAGTAAGGCCACGTCATCATTGGGGAATGACGTAATATCGTTGCGTCACCATTAGAACGTTACTCGTTTCTATTTTCATTACAGGATAGGAGCCGAAGCCTTCACATCTGAGATCTCATCAGACACACAGGACTTCTCTTCCGTGAGGGTGCCTACTCAGAATAGGACATACCATCAGACATGTTTAGATTTAGTGTGGCGTACATTTTGATTCACGGTGCATGCCTACGTACCTGAAACGGTATAGCAAAGAGTCCAATTACGATGTCCGCCAGCGCCAGGTTGGCGATGAAGCAATTGGTTACGTTCTGCATTCTTCGGCTAGTGGCCACAATCCACATAACCAGGGAATTCCCAACGACAGCCATGACAGAAATGGAGCCGTAGAAAAGTGAAAGGAGAGCAGTGACACCTGTTGGTACTTCAAACAAACTGTCGTAGGTTTCATTTGGCAACAGAGAGCCGCTATTCAGGTAGTCCTCCATGCTTGAATTGCCGGACTCTGAGTCGTTGAATGAGGGAGAGACATCCATTTCGAATTGACTGGATGGAGCTCTGCCGTGATCTCCTGAGTAGTTGGCAATGGAATAGCTGTACCTGTCCAGTGATCCATTTAATGAGAACTTTGATTCACTCATCGCTTTCTTCTGGAAGCATATGTCAATCTGAAACAAAGCAAATGACTTATGTAGGATTTGAGGTTCTCACAGCGGTGGTTATGAATACTACTGTGTTTGGGGATATAATGCCGTGTAGTCTGTTGAAAGTCAAGCGATGTTTCAGAGGAACATATTGCCTCCATCTTCAGGGTAGAATAAACCGAGCAAAATACCAGCGTAAAAGCAGGTCAGCTGACTTTCAACGGACTACATTGCGTTATACCCTAGATCAGTGGTTCTCAAACTTTTTACCTCTGAGCCCCCCTGAGAAGAGAATATACTCTCAGGCCACCAGCCTGTTTTTTATAAGAATATAAGCCATGGTATGTTTGATATTTCATTCAGTTTATTTTGTGTTTTTCTACATACTATTTAGCAGTTTTCTTACTCAAAATTAAAGTATCACAATACTAGGCCGACAATAAAAATTAGTTTTAACATTTGCAATTAACCAAAATATGTATTGAAATGAAACGATATTTAACTAACAAGTATTTAATTTTCTTCTGGAAAGAAAATCAAACATTTAAATGTCAAAGTTCAGTGTGATGGATGGGCCTGCTTTTGAGAACAAAGTTTATCAAAACGTGCTGTAATATTAGAAATGGTCACTCTAACTTCTTTAGCAATACTTTGACATTATAGCTGCCAAAGCAGAAAAGTCGGTCTTGCATAAGTAAGTTGTTGCGAAAGGAATCAGGATCTTCAATGCTTTTTGGCTCAAAGTTGGGAATTCCTTGCCAATATGTATCCAGAACTCCAACAAAGACAATTTCTTAAATTTACTTTTTAATGAAGTANTGTCACTTTCCATACTGTTTCTCCAGAGCTCTAATTTTCTCATGAATGTCTTCACTTTGTCACTCCAAGAAAGTACAGTTGCCTCATTCCCTTGAAGTGAAGTGTTGAGGATGTTTAGTTTCTCAAATATATACGTATCTGTGAGGTAAGCCATTTTCAACAAAAAGTCCTTGTTGCTGAAACTGTCTGCCACTGAGTGATTTTCCCCATTTAAAAAACAGAACACCTCATGCCTCAGCTTAAACATTCTCTTTAATACCTTGCCTCTTGAAAGCCATCGAGCATCAGTAAAAAACAACAGAGCAGTGTGTTCGGCACCCATTTCCTCACACAGCATTTTAAAAAGTCTAGACTTCAGAGGATTTCAGAGGATGCGGCTGCTGCCGAACTATCAACACTGTCTCTGGCATACTCGTTTTATAATTGCCGGTAAAGAGAATAATTAATAGTTATTTTGAAATTGGTGATAATTAAAGCCTGCACTCATCAAAAGTTTTTCTACATGTATTTTTATTTTTGTTACTTTTCTAATTGTTTTATGGCAGTTTTAATTTTTATCTGTAGGAAAGTATGCTGCGCCCCACTTTCAAGCCCTTCGCGCCCCCTCCTGGGGGTCGCGCCCCACAGATTGAGAACCACTGCCCTAGATAATTCCATAATTTTTAAATTACTTATGTTTTGCCAAAATTTCAGGTTCTTATTACTGTTACTGTTTTCTGTAATGTGATGCCTTGTCGTCAAGGAAGATGAGGTGGGCAAGGCATGTGGCACGAATGGGGGAGAAGAAGAATGCATATAGGATATTTGTGGGAATGGAAGGAGACCACTGGGAAGAATATGGCGAAGGTGGGAGAACAATATTAAAATGAATCTTAGAGAGATAGGATGGGTTGGTGTGGACTAGATTGATCTGGTTCAGGATAGGGACCAGTGGAGGGCTCTTGTAAACACGGTAATGAACCTTCGAGTTCCATAAAATACTGGGAAATTCTTGAGTAGCTGCAGAATTGGCGGCTTCTCAAGAAGGGCTCAGCGTCAGAAGTGAGTGAATGACCGAGTGATGCCGTGTCGTCTGGTAGATCTTTACCGGTGTTTCAGAGGAGCGTGCTGTCCTCATATTGAAGGCTCAGGAGTTCTATCTTGTGGATGGGGCAGCAAGTTACTCTGAAATGTCAGTAAATATCCAGAGCTGACTTCGAATCTCAGCTGGGATACTGGCTCCCCTGGCTCCATTTCGTGTTCTTCTGTCCATACATGCAAATACAGAGACAGCATGTCTATCAGGTCACGGCCGATTTGTGCCAAATCTCCTTCAATCCTACACTGATCAATCGTCCTATTATTTTACGTCAACTAGCCTAGCTACCGGTGGCGTCATAAAATAAACTAAAAGACTCACACGGCTCCACATTGCAGTAGATACCAATCTTCATGCTAGAATTGGGTTACATCTTAACATCAAGTTATTTACATACGTAGAAGAACACTGAATAGAAAATGTTCCAGAACATTTTAGAACCAAAAAAGCATGAGTAAACATAAGGAGCCAAGGCAGCAAATGCCCTTTTCTGTAGACAGAATTATGTATTGGATGGTATCGATTGTACCGAACATGTTAGATCATATCGAATAAGTTAATAAGTTACATTATATCGATTATATCGAAAGTGTTACGTTATATCTTTTGTATCGAATATGTTACATTATATTGATTATATCGAATATAAAGATCGGAATTGATTTTTATTATTGTCGCAATTATGTTCAATGCATACACTGACACTGTGGAAAGAAGTTCTGTTAATCGACCCCTCCACACCACCCTCGAGCTGTTACGTCCTCCCTCCAGTGTTAAGTGTATATATTCCCCTCGGATAATTTGGCCATTCTGTTCGACAAATATTGGTGATGCTGTTCAAGTGTTTTGGCCTGGTTGACGTATGGGTTGGAGGAAATACAACAGTACTCAGGGAGGGAGAAACCTCAAGTGACGTCACCCTCATCATCCAATGCTCTTCTTTCCGTAGACCGAGTATAGCGAACAAATGTTCTCTTGACTAAAACTGAAAATATCCACAGAAGGTAATATACAAGAGATTTTAACTAAAAGTATGTATCTTTAGCAATTTGGAGATAAAAGAGAGTCAGGTGCTCTTTTGCAGTTAATGGTGATTTCCTACGACCTCCAAAATGACAGAATGCAGCCAATCAGAATGTTCTGCTTCTAGAATAGACCTCTCTACCTATTCTATGAATCATAATTTCGCTTAATTACAAGCAAATAAATTTGAAAGCATAGTTCAGGTAAGTGAGGAGGTTCTGGTCGCTTTTGTGAATTCTGAAGACGTCATGCATGGGGGATTTCACTGGTATCCCGAGTGAAATCTTTCATTTTTAGAGGACTTCAGTTGGTAGACGAACAGTCGCCGCTACAGACGGACCGTGAGCTAATCCCATGTATTTCAGACGCTTTCAAAGGAAAGGCGCAGAGACTGTGCCTGATTTCAGGATAATCCGCTTAAAAGTTGAAGCCTTGAGAAATGATGAATTTTATTAACTACAAGTCAAGTCCATAAGTAACGAGTATAGTGGAATTTAGTTTCTCACACCGGTGACTCTAAAGAACGCGGTCTTTTGTGTTGTAACGTCGTGTAAATCGGATAGATACCGATGTTTCGGAGGAACATATCGCTTCCACCTTCAGGTTCGAAGACCTGTCGCCTGTTTCTTCTTAGTTCTTTGTTTGTTTATTCTTCAGTCTTGAAGATGGAAACAATATGTTTCTCCGAAGCGTTACGCTATCTGTACAAGCAATTACCATCCCAAAGATGATAGTCTTCACGTATTAAATAGAAAACATAAATATGTAAAGCGTCCCCGTGTTTAATTACGCATGACCCCGTGAAGAGGTGTGAGGAGTGGAGGTATAGCTCCTCCATTCTTGATCTCGGCACCAGATGAAAGTGAGTGGTCAGCTTCACACTTCGGCTGCTTTATCCCTGCTCCCCAAAGATAAAATATAAGTAAAATTGTTGCACATAATTTAAAGAGTTCAAGTTATCACAAATAATAAATGAGGCATATTTTTGTTGGGAAGAAACACCATACTGTTTTGCACTCCTGCGTATATTGTTTTCTTTTAGTTACAGAAACGGCCGTGGGAATCCGTTGCGCTGACCACGCTACACCCTCTATCCGCAAAAGTTGGCACTAACTTCGATGACAAGCGGCGGTCGCTCGTTCAGTATAGTTCGCTTGCGGACTAAAAGCCACGGAGTTTTCTTTAGTTACAACTTCTATCTTGCTTTTATTAAAAGCAAAACTGAATTGCACGAACAGTTTGCGTACGGCTTATTGCATTCAATATGTCCTGCTGTCGTGTCTCAGAATGGATCATGTCTTGTGACTTCATTTTGTTATATTCACAGCCATATCTGATGGTCGAGTCTTTGTTGTGTTTAAGTCCAGCCTTTTAGCAACAAATATCCGAGGGGAGAACGCACAACCTTGTTCAGCAGTAGCGAACATATCAACAGAGCGCTGGGTTCTAATTTGAACATCAATTTATGTTTCATTGTTCTGAGTCCAAATTATCCGCAGAGTGTTCATTGTCAAGATGTAGATTCTGAATGTTTCGCAGTTTTAGTATTGGATAAAACGACAGTTATGCAAATAAGGAATTGTTTCGTAAAATTAAATAGCTTATTCTCTCCTAACACAATGAAACCACCAGAAAGTACCAGTGTGGGTCACACTGATATTACAGACTGTAAAGTAATTGCACGCCTGGATTCAACACAAGAGTTCCGATTGTTATGCTGTCTTGCGTCATGGTTGGTCAGCAATGTTAGCAACAGTACACAGCTTAATAAAATTAAGGAACAGTAAACAAAGCTACACAGGCCGGGCGCTCGAGGTTCGATTCCCAGCAGAGGCAGTATATTCCTCTCTACTCAACAGCGTCCAGACATGCTCTGATACCAATGTAGCCGCCTATCCAATAGATACTGGAAGTTCTTTCTCAGGGGGTAAGATGGCCGAGGCATGAAGCTTTCAACTCACCTCCATCTAGTGTCGATGTCAAGGACCTTCGCTCTCCCACACGTATTAATGACGTGGTGCTTAATTAAAGCTCAGGAACAGGTTGGAATTACACACTGCAGTAACTCTGACTTTTTACTGTCTTCTGTGATGCGAAACCATGA